GTGCATGCCACAGGCGTTGCCTAGATGCGGAAACTCGTTAAGGTTTTGGGACAAATGCGAGAAAGCCATGAGAGAAGCGACCGTAACGCTACGGCCTCAGCCAGCATATGCGTGTGATTTTGCTTAAGATTGGTTGTCTCTTGTAAGAATCGAGGGATGTAGCATCGCTCCTTTACTGAGGTGCTCCAAAGCCATCTCAGCGCAGGAGAAAGTCAAGTTTGGGGCCTTCCATTGTTGTTTGGTCTTTTTATGTATGCACAGGATGTTGTGAACCGTAGATTGGCAATATATAGTTTAGAGCTCCCCAGGTCTGAAAAGAAGTTTTACACGAAGAAGTCTGGGAATCGAGAGTCTGAGAACAAGAAAAGGCGTCGTGAATCTGAGCCAGAGAAACTAGAGAAGGGTTCAGCCAAAGCTGCGGCCAAAAGGGCTGCAAAGGCAAAGAAGTAATTTTGATTTTGATATGATTTGCGTGATTTGTCCATGAACATGCTTGAGCCAAGTGTGTTGAAGGACATGCATTGTTAGGGACCAATGTTTGAGACTATTTGGTTGGAGGGAGTGACCCTTGCCAATATCGGCGGTCCAGGTTAAGCCAACCGTTTAGTGTCAGCAGAGCCTGGGAAGCTACCCAAGAACCCGGGGCAAAAGAACACATTTTCAGCGAGCGATACTTGTGTGGTCTGCTACGCCGCCATCGTGCACAACCTAAGACTATATAGTTTTTTGTTTTTCAGATTCTGCCAGGTCCTGGGCAAACGTTGCGATCTTTGTCCAAACAGACTGGCGATGGAGTTTCTTGGTTGTACTTTCTTGGCCTGATAATGCTTCTCCCCCCAGGTATGCAGGCAAGTGTCATTGTGTCTCGCCTCAGCTTTCTTGCCTACTGACTGAGGCTCCTTGCACAGACGCGATCAGAACTGCACAAAGCATCGTAGCAAATGTGGCAGCTCTGGGTGACGGTCAGGCTATGGACTTGCTGTCCGAAAATGGGATAGGCGCTTTGGCTAGTTGCCGTCTCCATCACTCGGAGCATGATCTGCACAAGGTCATTCGAGACTTTGACTTGGAGTTGCCTATCCCCCTCTACAAAGTTCCGGGCCAAGATTTTGAAGCACTGCGCATTCGTGATTGGATTAGCTTGATCCTGCGGAAGGACTTGTGGCATACATTGTCCGGTCTGGACAAACCCGATCCTGAAAGATGTCGCAGAATCTGGCGCGATTTTTGGTGCAAGTACCGCCAGCAGAATGGAGGGCACCCAATTTTTGAGATGGAGGCCAAGGGTTTGATCAAGCTGGAGAACAGCGCAGCCTGTTTGTTTCATGGCGATGAAGGCCGTGGAAAAAAGAAGAAACCATACTTTGTGATGAGTATGTTCTCCATCATGGGCAAAGGCACCCGGGCATCGCAGCGATGTCAAGAAGAGCGCTACCTGTCGCAACGCCTGAACTATGGCGGTCACACATTCTTGAGTCGCATGTTAGTTGGTTGCCTCCCCAAGTCCATGTACAAGAAGGATGAGTCAGCCTTGCGAGGTTTACTTAGCTTCGCTGGAAGTGAGGCAAAGCACATGGCTGTTGAAGGGGCGACAAATCCACGAGGTGAACGGTTCTGGCTGGTCACTGTTGGATGTACTGGCGATTGGCCTTTTTTATACAAAGCAGGCTTTCTCAAAAGAAGCTTCTATTCGGGGCCAAAGCAGTCTACAGATGGGGATGGGGATGATTTCAGAGGTTCGACAAAGAACAAAGAGCCTTCAGGAATTTGTCATCTCTGCGTGGCAGACCAATCTGGTTTTCCATATGAAGAAATGGGGCGCGTGTCTCCGAATTGGCTTCGAACCATGAACCTTGTCTCCCCGTTTGCATCACCTCCAGAGTTGCTCCAGGTACCACACAATCCGAGCAGGTCTTCAGAATTTTTCTGCATAGATCCATGGCATTCCTGGCACCTTGGATTGGGCAAGAATTTCTTGGGCAGTGCACTTGTGCTGGCCAATGCTCATTTCGAAGGCTCAACGAATCCCCTACGTTTTGAGGCCATGAGTGAGCATTACTTGGCTTGGTGTAAACGACACCGTCAGCAACCATACTTGACCAAGATTGCAAAAGAGACATGTCATTGGGATGCTAGCTGGCCTTGTGGTGGATGGAACAAGGGCAGTGTGACCACTGTGGTGTGTGCCTGGTTGATTGCATTCTGTGAGGAGTTCATGGAGTCAGTTCAGCGGGATGAATTGATGCTTTTGACTTACCAGGCAGCTAAGCACATTCATTCGGCAATGGAGGCTTTGTACCGTGAAGACTTGTGGATCCGTGACTCTAAGGCCCGAGAGATAGGACAGGACGGAATTGAATTTTTATTCAAATACACTGTCTTGGCCAAGAAGGCATTTGATAGCGGCAAGCGCCTGTTTGCACTTATGCCCAAAGGGCATATGTTAGACCATATATTCCTCACCAGTTTGTACCTGCCTTCCCGCACACAGTCCCATGTATTAAATCTGATGGCTCATGGCTGTCAAAGGTCCGAAGATTTTATCGGACGACCCTCACGGGTCGCGCGGCGGGTATCCAGCAGACTTCAGGTTAAGAGGGTGATTGAGAGATATCTCCGCTCCGTCTATTTTCATTGGAAAGAGGCCGGGTACATTGATTGAGGTGTTGAAGGGTGTTTGAGATGTCACAGTGTGTTGTTGAACGAAATCGCATATGCCCTTTTCATTATCATCATCGATGCTTCTATAATTGGTCCCCAGTACGGACTAGAACACCCAAAGGCCTCCCAAATCTTGGTTGCTTGGATCACAACATGCTGAAGGAGGACGAAAAGGCACGGTGGCTGGGTTGGTGTGGGAGTGGTACAAACCTCAAATATGTAAAACCTGGTTATTCTTGCATACCTTACTTTTTGTAGGATTTTGGATCTCCAGGTATATATATATATATGATGGAAAAATTCGAGGACCTGGGGCGTCCCAGAGTGGACCTCAATCCGCTTCAAACTCTCAAGCGGAAACTCGAATCAAAACGCCGAAAATCTAGGGCCCCGGAATGTCTAGATTTTCGGCGTTTTGATTCGAGTTTCCGCTTGAGAGTTCGAAGCGGATTGAGGTCCACTCTGAGACGCCCCAGGTCCTCGCAGTGTAGGAAAAAACCCAACCCTGTTTTCTTTTTTCGACTCACGAACTGGGCGGCGCCACCGCCTGCTGCAGGGTCGTCTGCGGCCCAGCCGCATCGGACATCTCCTCTGTGGGCGGGCCAGCCGCGCCAGCCAGACATGCCTACTTAGATGGGCTGTGTTTTTATAACTAGTTATGTTGTTATTTTACATTTAGTAACTATGTGTTAACTGTATACTAACAAGGTCTTAACTATACTGTAACACATTATACTTTCTGTAACTTGTTAACATAATTACTAATTTTCTATAAAAATTACATAACTAACATAATTATGTTAATTAAGTTAAAAAGTTAGCAAAATTATAACTAGTTAGCTCAAGACTTTACATCTAACTACAAGAACAATTTATTATCCAACAAATGATAAAGTTAAAGCCTGTAGGTGTATCTATGTTATTGAAACATGTGTTTTTTAACTTAAAAACACAATTTTTTAACTTAAAAAAGCCTGATGTCCATTAGCTGCATGGCTAACCATGTCTATCAGTTGCATGACCAACCATGTCCATTAGCTGTATGGCTAACATTGTCCTTTAGCTGCTTGTCAATTGGCTGCATAGCTAGAACCATGTCCATTAGCTGCATGGCTAGCCATGTCCAGTGTTGTGAAAAGGCTTGACAGTCATTGTGATTGTAGCATTTTTGTTTTGAGCTGTCTCTATACACTCAGCCATGGAAGCTGAAGCTGGTGTAGAGATCTCACATGTGGTGAGCCTGAAGTACAATGGGAAGAAGCATTCGATCCCAGAGGCCTTGATTGTTCAGGATGCATTTGGCAATGAATATCTGAAGGTGGCAGCCACCAACCAAGTGATCTTGAGGTTGATCTGTGGCACTTGCAAGAAGAATTCCTCTCTGGCTGGTGGACAGAAACTTGGGGAGCTCAAGCAGCAAAGGAACCAGAAAGCTGGCATTGCAAATGCTGAGCAAGAGGATGAAGAATGGCCTGGAGAGCATGCTGATTCTTCAAGTGGAGCCCCCAAGACACAGAAGAGATCTCAGAAGGTGGTGACCTTGGACATTGGTGGTACAGATGTGTGCATCTTGTGCCCAGCCAAGAGGCTGGCTGCTGCTGATTTGATGGTGAAGATGGACAGTGCAATGCTATTTGCAGTTTTTGAACTCCTCAAAGAGGATTGTGAAGATCATGGTCGGAGCAGCAGGAAGTATCAGAGGACTGGCCAATATAGGAAAGCTGGTGGTGGCAGGGATTCTGAAGAAGAACCTGCAGAGTGACACTCCAACCTGAAGGGAAAAACTGGGTGTTCAGCACAAGCACATGTTTTGCTGACATGCTGGTGTCTTAAGCCTGGCCTGTGATAGATTAGCCACTATATATAGGCTGGTAGGTGATGCAAAAACATTAAGTCCCATTATCCATTTTGGATTTGATGAAAGATTGATTGTCAAAGCAGATCTCAAATCACATTATCCTAGTGGATTGAGTTTCATTTTCCATGCTGGAGTCACATTATCCTACAATGGATTGACACTAATCATCACATGTGAAATCACATTATCCTTAGGGATGGCACTCATGATGAATTTTAGAATCACATTATCCTAGTGGATTGACAGCCAATATGCATTTGTGCTTTGGTACTTCCCTATATGCTTGCTTTGCTTTTCATGACACTCAAGTGGGTGCTTGAAAATGTGTTACACAAAAGCATGTCAGCAATGTACATGGAACAAACTTACTTGCAATGTACATGGAACAAACTTACTTCCAATGTACATTGAACAAACTTACTTGCAAGTTTGCATCAGAACAAAACTTACTTGCAAGTTTGCACCAGAACAGTGTGAAGCCATGGATGGTGAGACAAAAGCAAAGATGGAAAGGTTGCTTGCAGAGAAGGTTGGGATCAACAAGAAGCTGCAGGGAATCTTGTCCCTGCTGACACTTGCAAATTATGCATATGGAATCAAGCTGAGGCCATCATCTTTGATGGTTCATGACAAGAATCGTGGAGGAGCCATGCTGAATGCCTGGGATGTACACAGAAAAGGTGCTGCCATCTTGGATGCAGGCTTGCAGCCTAAGCTTTTGATTCCTTCATCCATTTGCATCGAGATGGCCAGTGATGGGGAAAGCAGGAAGAGGCAGTTGAATGCCAATCAGAACCTTGCAGCAACTAGCAATGCCATGCTTCCAGCTCCAATTGGCCATGAAAGATACCTTACACTTGGAAACTCCCACTGGGTGATGTTTTGCAAAGCATTGCAGGCTGGATGCGTCAACCCAAAAGGCCAGCAGCTGCATACACCTGCAGAGCTTGAGAAATTGATGGCTGAGGGGTGGGAATGGCAAGCCATTTCAGAAAAGGTTGAGCAATCCTTCCCCTCATTCCCCAGCTTGTGCCAGAGTGCTTTGAACAGTGTCAACTCCAATGCAACCTCCACTGGAGAGCTTGAGGCCATGCTACAGCTCTCAAGCTATTTGAAGAGTGGTGCTACTTTGTCAGACGCTGTGGAAGCAGTTCATGCAGCACAGCCAGTGTGTGGTCAGTATTTGCGAGACATTGCCACCTTTGTGAAGCTCTACACTGGTGGTGAGGATTTCCCATTGTTGGATCAGCTCAAAGGCTTCTGTGTCTTGATTGCATACATGCATATATATATATATTTACAATAAACACAATCATTTCCCAAAACCAATTTGCATGCAGTATCTGCAAAGTTTTGTAAGAAGTATATCACTTCAATTTGGTGTGAAATTGGAACTATCAAGGCAAGAGATTTGGCCCCAGCTTGCTCATTGGAGAGGAAATGATGGGCCTGCTGGCCAACTTTGACTTTAAACAAGATGGAAGCCAATTGGTGATGCGCAGAATTGCATTGCTACATGCCATACTTACATCTAAAAGATGCACAGATGGCTACTCCAAGCTTATTTTCAAAAGTGACCTAGACAAAATGAAAGGTTCACTCAAGGACAGCACAAAGCAAATTGAAGATTTGCTGCTTGGAGCTTGGAAGCAAACCTTGGCAGTCATGAAGACTGGTGAAGGTGAGAAGGCAAGCTTTGCCTTTGGAAAGCTCTCAGTGCGACTGATCTTGGTTCTGCTGGCAAAACAAAAGCACAGCAGAGACACAGTGGAGTTTGATTCCTTTGAAGAAGTGGTCCAGAGGTTTACAGATGAGTTGACTGGCAGGACAGTTTCCAGTTCAAGCCATGCAGGTGGTGAGAAAAAGGTTGTCTGTGGCAAAGTTCAAGACCTTTTGGAGGCCTCTGCTTCAGACATGGCTTTGCTCCAAAACCCCCACCTCACATTGGGCTCTAAGCATCTCACTTGATTTGAATTGTTTTGCTATGGTGGTTTCTTGTTAGTTGTATCAAAAGACCTGCAGCACTGACAAAACCAAGCAAGGTACTGTCACCCAGATCACCCTGATCAGATCTTCACATTCACCAAAGTTGATGCTGATAGCATGGTGTTTGAACACCAGCCTCTGTTTGACAGCAGCATCGTGATCCATGCAGACTTCCATTCTTTGAAACAATGGAAGGTGACCAAACAGCAGCCACCACTTCTTTGCCCTGTTGAACTGATGAACTCCAGGAGTGGTACTTCCAGTGATTCCAGCATCTACATGGACATGTGCAGAGGTGAGGTGCAATCCATTGTGAATGAAGCATACTTGCAGCACCTCCCTGGTGACCAGCTGCTTTTCTCACTGCACCCTTCCAATGTGTTTTGCTCCACCAAGGTGAAAAAGAATGAGATCAATTTGTATCCAGCTGGTGTGGTGCACATGGTAAAACCAGCTGATCTTCCAAAGATCAAAGGTGTTGTCTTGAAATACAAGGGCTTCCATTGGACTTTGACACCCTACAGATCATTGCCTGCTTTTGATGACAGCAAAGCAGGCTATTTAGTCGCATACAACTGGGTTCAAACAACAGAGGAAGCAGAGGAAGCAAACATGACAGTGAAGTGGCTGACTATCAGAGGCTTAAGCCTTCCTGTGTTGCAGAATTGTGTCCCCTTGTCAAAGCATGATGCTTTGGTCAGGACAGCCATCACACCATCTGAAAAGGTGGAAGGCGATCCTCCCAGCAAGAAGAGGAAGACAAAGTAAATTGTCGTGCTGGCTGACAGTGTCTTTTTGAAAAAAGGCTTCAATAGTGTGTCAATGGTTTTCACAGCTTCTCACTGTCCTCTCTTGCAGCCTCAAGTCCCATTAGCTTTTGTTGCTGTTTACCTGCTACAGCAATTAGCCCTTGGGCTTGGAACCAGCTGACATTTTGTGAGCACATTAGCCAATGGGCTTCAATCTTGGGAATGAAACCTGTTGACATTGTTTGAAGCACATTAGCCAGTGGGCTTGGAAATTTGATGTGTTGGAAAGCAATTAGCCTTCAGGCTTGAGCTTGTTTCTCATGTATCTTCCAATTAGCTTTTGGCTTCATACAAACTGTGCGCCTTCAAAGAAACAATCTGTGAAAAGAACACTTGTGCATACTTTTCCTGGCAGGTGTGTAGCTTGCTCAAGCTGCAGGCCAGGCATGAAAAGAACAAATGCCTGGCCTGATGACTGGGGGTCAGGTAGCTTCAAAGCCATGAGATGGACACAGGAAGCTGTTGCCACCGCAGATGGCCAGAAGCAAACTGACCACAACAAGGACTGTGAGGATGGTGACAAGACATGGTGGGAAGCAAAGGCCTCTTGGAATGGCTATAAGTCATGGTGGGATGGCTATAAGTCCTGGCAGGATGACTCCAAGGGCTACACATCCTGGCAGGATGACTACAAGGGCTACACATCCTGGCAGGATGACTACAAGGACTACAGGTACTACTGGGCTTGGCCTGGCCATGAAGCCAAAGAGAAACAGAATGACCAGCATGATGACTGGACCTACACAGAAGACCTCAAACAGCAAGACAAATGGTATGAAGCAGGATGGAAGACCCAGGAGGCTATGTGGGATGCAAACCTGGCACAACAACAAGTAGCCCAGGAAGCAGGGCACAACTATGAGCTGTGGATGACAGAAAAGGCCCGATGGGATGGCTATGTCCAGGACTATGATGAGGAGCATGCTGAAGGTGAATGCCCAAGGCCATCTGCAGAGTCTCAACCTGAGGCCTATGTCCCAAACATGTGGGTTGAGAAGACTGTGCATGAAGCCTTCAAGGGTCTTGAAGAAGCTCCACAACCAAAGGCTGCAGCAGAAGCTTCTGGTGCAGGAAGTCCATCTGAGACAGAAGTGGCTCCTGATGATGAAGAAGAAGCTGAAGCTCCAAGAGATGTCTATGAAGATGTGGATGTGGAGCAGGAGGGTGAGTATGATCCAAGCAAATATGTGGTGACCAAGACAGGCTACCAGAACTATGCACGCCTGGTCATCTCCCTCTACCGCATGGGGAGATTTTCCATGCTCGAAAGGTCCATCAACAAGCTCCTGCAGAAGCAGCAGTTCAGACTGAGTGTGCTGAAGTTATGTTCTCACATTCAGAAATTTGCTGATACTGGCCCAAGAAGATTGGGCTTTGACTTCGACTGAAAGCCAGCTTGAGTCTGCCAAAAAGGTAGTGTGTACTGCACAGATGATGATATTGCATGTACACTTCATATTAGCCTTTTGGCTTTGGACATCAACTGGACTTCATATTAGCCTTTTGGCTTTGGACATATGTTAACCATATAGGCTTTTGAGTATGCGGTTAGTTTTGATTTCATTAGCATCAAGCTGTATACTTTTATATAGACATTAGCCTGGTGGCTGATAATTTCAAGTTTATACACATTAGCTTTATAGCTATTCAGTTCCAAACCAATTTCAATTCAGATTATGAATTGAAATTAAAAGATTTTTAATTTCAATTCAGATTCTGAATTGAAATGAAAAGTTTTTTAATTTCAATTCAGATTCTGAATTGAAATGAAAAGATTTTTAATTTCAATTCAGATTCTGAATTGAAATGAAAAGATTTTTAATTTCAATTCAGATTCTGAATTGAAATTTTGTTGTCTTTTGAATTTGTCTTTATGTGTGAATTAACATTTCATCAATGTGTGATTTGAAGATTGAATGATCAGGCATTGATAAGCTTGTGTTTCTATGTGCAGCCAGTCATCTACAAGTCTTGGTAGATTGGAAGTGTAGTGTAGCCATGTCTCAATGGACAGTTGATGCTCTGTTGGATGAGATCTCTCACCTGAAGACCTTGCATGAGGTGAGGAAGGATGCTGATGTGGTTATCAAGATGGCAACTTGCATTGCCTCGAAGATCACAGGAGCTAGTGAGATCACTCCCTCAATGGTGGTTAAGCTTTGCCAAGCAGTGGATAATGCACCACTCAATGATGCTGTCAAGGCTACTCTGCACAGAGCCTTGGATGAAAAGGTTATGACTGGTGATTCAGGCTCTTGCAAGTTGGTGAGCAAACCACAATCACTGCTCTCCATCTACAACTATTTGTCCAAGACAGAAGCTGCAGAGATTCAGAAAGCACCCCTGCCACATATGGTTCAGATCATTGTGAAGAGATTGAGAATGGTTGGATTGAGGAGCTGCAAGGAGAGCACCAAGAAGTACTGCTGTGCTTATCTGATTCATTTGATGTGTCAGAGAGGTGAGCCAAGTCCTACTGGCCCTGAAGTGTACAAGTTGGCTCAATACCTTGTGGATGCTTTTGCAGGTTCAACACAGGCTTCTTTGGTGCCTGCTCATGCTCAGTACCCTTGGACACCTGCCCAAATGGGTGATGAGTTTCTTAAGAAAGCATATGGAGATGATGAGCCTGTTGCTCCATCTGAGCAGCTGACCTCAATCATTGCTGCACAGCTGAGAAAAACCCCAGTGAGAAACACACATGAGTTGCTGTCAGGCACAAGCATGGGACACAAACAAGCCAAGCAGGAAGATACCAACAATGTGCTCCAGGCACTGAATGCCTTGCTTCACAAGGCCAAACAAATTGACCAAAGCAGTGGCTTGATGGCTCAGCTTGGTAAGGTCACAGACCTTCATGTGGAAAAAGGATTTTCCAATGCTATTGCATCTTTGCCTCTCACAGGGAGCTCTGAGAGTTTGAATGAAAGCTCCAGCTCAAATGCACTATGCGCTTCCAATACACAGTCAAATAGCCAAGACTGCAATGCTCACCATGGTGACCAGCACCAGAAGACCCAGGGCACTTGTGATGACCAAGAGATGGCAAACAGTGGTGATTCACACCAAGAGCTGAATGATTTGAATGCTCAGGAAGCCAAGTCCTTGGAACAGTTTGAGTTAGAGGCTTTTCAACAGCTCCAATCTGCCAAGGGTGCCAAGGGCAAAGTGAAGCAGATGAAAAAACCAGCTGCCTGCAAAGCTTCACTCAAGAGGCCTGCAGCCAGCCCTTGCTTGTCCAAGACAACCAAAGGCAAGGTCAATGACCATGCCAAAGACATGGCGCTGCAGAAGAATGAGAAGAAGAACAAGCTTACATGCTGGGGGTGCACAAGGTGCAGGGGTAACCCCCATGGATGTGATTCATGCAACTTCAGCTCTTTTCAGGGCACAAGGTTGAATGGCCGCAAGCAATGGCATGACTACATGAAGAAAAAAAACTGAAGGCGTAAACACCTTGGTTGGCATCAGTGCCTGGGAGACCCCAGGCCTATGGGGTGCAACACAGTTCAAAGAACTGTTTGCAACCTTCTCTTGGAGAAGCTGGGGAAAATGTTGTTGCAATAGCTGGTGTTATTGCTTGCCACAACTTTGACAAGCACTTGCTTGTAATAATGTTGCTCAAACACTTTGTGGTTTGGCTTCTTTTGATTGACATTAGCCATATTGGCTTCTTTTGTTTGCACATTAGCCATATTGGCTTCTTTTGTTTGCACATTAGCCAGCATGGCTCTGCTTCATTTGTGTTGTGCATCTAGGTTTCTCATTCACTTTGCTTGCAAGGTATATGTTTACATTAGCTTCTTCAAGCTTTGATATCCATTTGCTTCTCTGGTGCTATGTCTTTCCAAGCAATATATGGACACATGTCTTTATTTGTTTTTGTGCAACATGTGATGCACTCACCTCACTTGCAGGCTCTTGTGCTCACAAGCTGTGTCTAGGTGTTCTTACAGGTGCTTGGAGCCATGGAAACTGAATATATTGATTGGCACTCCAGAGATGTGCGGGTCCAGGTGGAGAAGTCAGGTGCTGAGAAGGTCAGAGTCACCATGAAGAATGAGGGGGGCAAGGATGTTGTGATGTATGACTCAGTCCACAACCCTGACTGGCAATGGATGGAGCAGGTCCACAAGGCAATCTGTTTGACTCTCATGCCAATGCTTGCTTTCCAGAACAACTTCCAAGCTTTCTAGTTTTTGCACATTAGCACAATTGCTACCAATGACTCACAATTGCTGTCGCATTAGCACAATGCTATAATCTCTTTGCATGTGCACACTAGTTGGTTCTAAATGTTTTTGGTTCTTTTGTTTCTGTGAGGAAGCAGATGCCTTTGTCCAGCAACTTGCATTGCACTCATTGGCTGTTCTATTTTGACCTGCTTGGCTGATTTGATGCTTTTGGTTGGTTCACCTTTTGAAACATGTGTTAAATGTACCAGCCACCCACTTGCAGGCATTGCAAGGAAGACCCAAAGCTGGCTGCTTTGTTCAAAAGCTACCAGGTGGTGGAGGCCAAAAACTGTGCTGCTGCTGTAGCAGGGGTGATGGTAAAGGCAACACATAAATATGTGGTACCCAATGCCATCCCATGAAGCCAAGCCAACAGTGGGTGAGAAAAAGATGCAGTCTTTGTGTGAAGCACCTGTATAGTGTGTAGCAACTCCTCATCAGCCATGCTGGCTATGGTTGCATCTGATATAAGCACTCATTAGCCACACTTGCGCAGATTGGCTTTGCATGCAAACCTTCCTCATTAGCCATGCTGGCTTTACATGTAGCAAGACCTCATTAGCCACACTGGCTTTGCATAGATTTTTCAATTCATCCTTCAGTTGTTGCCTCATTAGTCGATCTGACTGCCTTTTGGTGGCTGCTTTGCAGCCACCATCTTCACAACAGCTTCCACAAGCATGTATGTTCACACCCATTTGCTTGTTGTGATACTGTGTGGATGGCTTGGACACTTGTGCTGTCAGCTTTATGAACAGCTTCATAGAATTATCAAGCACCTAAGAAATGAAAGTGCTTTGCAATGAACATGAACAAGGTGGAAATATATGTGCTTCCAGTGAACCTGAAGTTTTCACAGCTCACATGCAAGTAGAGTTTGCAATAGTCACAATTTCAATAGACATTGCAATAGATTTTGTTTTTTGCACTATGGGCCTTTGGCAAAGCCAGGGCAATGAATGCTGAGCCAAATGCAAAATACAGGAAGCTGCAAGAACTGAGGAAATCAATCCCATTTGCAAGCAAAAGCTCTTTGGCAGCCATCATTGGCCACATTAGAAAGCAAGGTTTGCCTGATGGTGGTTCTTCAAAGGATATGCGAGCAGCCAATAGACAACAACTTGCTTTGTTCAATGGTTATGGGCCTCTCCTGCAGGAGGAAAAGCTTGTGATGATAAATGGTGAAAGTTGCAGTTTGTTGTTTATCAACTTGATGTCTCTTCTCCATGGTGCTTACAAGCGCTGTCTTGGATTTCACCAATTGCTGAAATCCACTTTGGATAAGTACACAGAGCCATTGCACCTGATGGTCTATGCAGATGAGATCACACCAGGAAATGTGCTTTCCCATTCACCAAGTCGAAAGCTTTGGTGCATTTATGTTTCATTTGAGGAATTCAAGCATCATTCTTTGTCAGAAAATGGATGGCTGACCCTTTGTCTCCTGAGATCTGACATGGCCAGCAAAGTGGAGGCACATTTGAGTCAAATTGTCAAAGTTATCTTGCTTTCAATCTTTTGCAATAACTGTTGCATTGGTGATGTTGGCCTTCAGCTTCAAGAGATTGATGGTACTCCTGTACCTAAAAGATTGAAAATGAAGCTTGGCTGCTTCATCATGGATGGCCAAGCTCAGAAATTGGCCTGGGCCTGCAAAGGTGACTCAGGCAGTCGGTTCTGCACACTTTGCAGCAACATTTTTCAATCACATGGATCCACAGAGGAGGAGGAGGAATTGGTCAATGAGATCAGCAAGCATTGCAGGTATAGAGATCTGTGCTTGAACTCCAACACAGATATCTTGGCTTCCTGGGACAGGATGTCCAGCAGGGCTGCCAGTGACATGCCAAAAGGCGAGTTCAAGTTGTGGGAGCAAGCAAGTGGGATCAGCTGGTCAAGCCATGCTCTCCTTGCTTGCAAAGAACTCAGGCATGTGATGATGCCAGCTGATCAGTTTTGCCATGACTGGATGCATGGTCTATTGTCAAATGGAGTGTTATGCAAAGGTACTTTCAATTTACTCCAAGCCCTTGACATGTGGGAAGTGGTACAAGGCTATGTGGAGCAGTGGCACTTGCCTCATGCTGTCAGCAACCTCAAGCCCAGTGCTCTCTTTGAAGCAAAGCGAATTAGCAAGCACAAAAAGAGCCAGAAGCTCAACAGCACTGCCAGTGAGCTTTTGTGTGTATTACCTATCCTTGCACACTTTGCAAGGGTTGCTTGTCTTCCCACTGGTACACACACCCAGGAAATTGAAGCATTCTTGTCTTTGGTGCTGGTAGTGGAAATACTGCAAGCCTGTTCTTACACCAGTGTGCAGCCTGCTGCCCTTTTAGCAGCTATTGAGAGATATTTGAAGCTTTGGGTGGACCTTGGGTGGCATATGCTGAAAAAACACCACTGGCTTCTTCACCTACCTACATTCCTGTCCAAACACCACTGGCTTCCAAATTGTTTTTGCATGGAGAGAAAGAATAAGATGATCAGTCGCCATGCAAACATTGTACAAAACACCAGAAGTTTTGAGAGGAGCCTTTATGAGGAAGTTACAACTTTTGAGCTGGAGAAGCTTTCTGCAGTTGATTGTTTTGCTACAGGTGTGTACTTGATTGATCCCAAGCCATTGACCAAAAAGCTCAAAGCTTTGGCATCTGCAATGTGGGATGATTGCCAAGACACTTTGCAGACCTTCAAGGCCATGGGCCAGCATGGTTGTTGCACCAAAGGTGATGTTGTGCTTCTACAAAGTGCAGCCTCCAAGTTTGATGCTGGTGAAGTTCTTGTGTTCCTTTCTCACTTGGGAGAAAGCCTTTGTGTGGTCAAGGCCTTGCAGCTTCAACAGCTGCATCCATGTCATGCCTTGTGGCAAGAAGTGGACACTTTGGTAGCAGTGCCTTTGCACATTGTGTTGTTGGCTGCACCCTTTGCAAAAGACCACAGGGGCATCACCACTCTGACTCCTTGGCATCTACGATGAATGCCTGTGGTGTCAAAACAGTGCTTTTTTGCATCAGACAGCTTGCTGTCTTTTGTCAGTCAAGGCTTGTGTCATGTTTCACTCATTAGCCATGTGGCTTCATGAACTTTGTGTGCATGTCATTAGTCAAGTGGTGCATGTCATTAGCCAAGTGGCTCAGTAACCAAAAAACCAACATTTTTTCTAGCAAAACTAACTTTCCTAACTAGTTATAACTTTTTCATAATTTTAACTTAATTTACTTAATTAT